TATCCCTAAGACTGTATAACTGAGTATTCAAATTTTCAGTCATTGTTTCAAGTTCAGGACAAACTTGAACCTAAGTCTCAAAAAGTTAAAGATGGACAGTTCCCTATTGGAGTTCTCTATTTTCCTTGCTTCCAAAGCTACTACAATGATTAAAAATTGAGCAAAACTATGATTGCTAGTAAAAGATTGTCAAACCAGATTTTATTTAAATTCCATTTATTAAATTGCTATGTTTCTCACTATTTTGTTCTCCTTTTCTCTTTCTCTTTATGATCTCCCCCTATAATTGGTTAGGTAAGAAATTGATATTAAAGATACAAATTTATAAGTTTTTCCTACTTCATAGGTTCCTACACTTCTTGGCTTAACAATTCCAAAAGCAAGAAGATACTGTTGCCATAATTTTTCCAGAAGACATAGTTCTTATTCTGACTCTAAACTTCTGAAATCTTGAAAGAAAAAGAAAATGAGCTTGTTTCAAGAGCAAAATTGAGACCAGCCTCCCATGGGCTGCAGACACAGATGCACACTATAAGGATGTTCCCATAAGCAAAACGTTGTGGGCCTGCTTTCCTTTTCTTCCTGGGCGCATCTACACCTGTGCATTTACTGCACAGTGACTAAAATTACTGAGCTGTGGGGCTGTGTGAAGCTTCAGTAGCCAATTCTATTCAGAGAAAATTTGGCCCAATTCGACAGCCAAATCTCTGAATCCAAATTGAATCAGGAGACCCCTTAATCTCTCCAAATTGAATCAGAAGCCTCTGAATTGATTCCGAGAGATTTGGAGAGATTCAGCCAAAGACTGTATAGGCAGGCAATAGGTAGTGCCAGCGGGAGCAGCCAGACAAGCCCCAGCAGCCCCAGGAGAAGCAGCAGCTCATCTGGCTACTCCCCTGCCAGGGTGAGGCAGGCAGTGCCGCGGCACCTGGGGGAATGATCGCGGAACTAGAGGATCGAACCAGAAACTGGGGAATCAAACTGGGAGCTGGGGAATTGAATCAGGAGCTGCAGGGAAGCCCCTATTCATTTCTCCAGCCCTAGATCATTCCACCCCATTCCCCAATCTTTCTCCCAGCTCCCCAATCATTCCCCAGCACCCACAGATTCTCCTGGGGCTGCTGACTCAAGCCACGGCTCGTCCGGCTGCCTCCCACTGCTGGGGTGAGGCAGGCAGTGCTGCCAGCCCCTGGAGAAGCTGTGGGAGCTGGGGGGAATGATCGGAAAGTTGGGGGAATAATTGGGAGGTGAGAACTGGGGAATCAAACTGGGAGCTGGGGGGAATGATCGGGGGCTGGCAAAACGAACAGGGGCTTCCCCCTGCTCCCAGTTCGATTCCCCAGTTCCTGGTTTGATCCCACAGCATCCTGATCATTCCTCCCAGCACCAGCAGCTTCTCCCAGATCTGCCAGAACTACCTGCCTTGCCCTGGCAGGGGGCAGCTAGGGGAGCTGCTGGGAGCAGCTTCCCCCAGGGATGCCGGCTCAAGTCGAGGCTTGCCCGGCTGCTCCCCCAGCTGCTTCTGCCAGCACTGCCTGCCTGTACAGTCTATGGCTGAATAAGATTCGGTGCTGGATATCTTTGAATTCGGATTCTGCCAAGTTGAATCAGGACAGTCATTCGAATCACCAAATCGAATCATTGTCCCTCCGAATTGCCGAATCTGAATGCGAAGCAAATACTTTCTGCTTCGCACAGGCCTACTGAGCAGTACAGGCGTGCATCTACATGTGCACGCCCATACTGCACAGTAAATATGGTGACTTATGCAGAATTGAGCGTAAATTTGGTGCCTGCATTATGCAGGTATCAAATTTACATGTGATTAGTTATTGCACAGTAATGCATATATAGACACCTTACTGCACAGTAACACTGGAAATGTTCTAAGATGCAGCGTTAATGTGCTTTAACACCTGCACATGCAGACACTAGCCTGTTCCTGCTTACTGCACAGTAACTTACTGCACAGTAAATTTAAGCCAATGTAAATGCACATATAGACATGCACCCTGTGTCAATGCATAAAAGTAGATTTCAAAATTAGAGTTCAATAAATTCCAGAACACTGAGCTGCCCTGTATACTTCTCCACTTCATAGGAGCTGAGAATCTGGCCTAAAATATTTTGCAGACATTTTCAAAATTGATTTCTGTGCTCATGAAGATTCCAAAATGATAGAACACAGGAAAAAGATGCCATATTTTTATTTGTACAACAAGCACCCATACACCATGGACACATGATACTGCAAATTTATCTTAATTTTAGAGATTTGCTTTAACAATACTTCACAAAAAGCAGGTTGCACTCATTGAAGCAAATAAAAAGGATTCAAAGATTTCTCAGTTGTTGTCCAAAACTCATTTTTCGTTATATAGAAATAACACATCTGGCAAAAATGTATTCAAAATGTGATGTATAACCAATGTATAGATATCTGACTGAGTTAGCAGAGAACCTTTAACACCAGCTTAGTATTATGAACCCTATTCTTTTAATTGAATATTAACTGAGATGTCAGTGCTGATACTTTGAATGTCAGTAATATTCACAATTTCATTGCTCATCAGAGCATGTCAGAATGGAAAGAAAGTGTCATATTATAAAGGTTTACCTTACAGTTTTGCTAAGGGATGGGAAGAACACATAAAATGTATAAACTACAATATTAAGCCTTTATTAATATGGAGTCAGGAGATTGGTATAATTTTTAACTGATCTTACTTTTCTGCTTCCATAATAGACTGGTCAAATGGGGGGAAAGTCCCATTTTTTGACCAACATGATTGCATGGTTATAGCAGAGAAAAAAATAAGACCATAATCAGTGTGAGTATATATAAGTACAGGCTTCTAACTATGGTGCCTATACATGAGTGTCAAGACTGCTCTGATGCAATGGAATTCCAGATGTCATTAATCGAGTCTGCTGGAATGGGGCAATTATCACACTCCAGCGGCCTTCTGAGTCTCATGTATCAGTATCCCCATGCTTAAAAATGGTAGCAGGGGTGCTTGAACTCAAGCTTGTCGAACAAGCTTTAGTTCAAGTGCCCCCACTTACATGGTCAACAAAGCAGAGTATTTAAAATAGAGGCTCATGAATCCTGTACATATGGTAGTTGGTTGATAATCTGTTCTTTTTAACACGGTGCTTATATTTGAAGTATCACTCTAAAAACTGATACTACTGTCACAGATAACTTAAAACAAAAAATCTGTTCTTTAAAATCATTGATGTGATATTGTGAACAATATGTACTTTTGTACTGTGTACTGTCACATTGCCTGTCAATGCGCTATGCAGCAGCATGTACCATGTGCAGTGTGACTTTGAGAAACAAGTACCTTTTCTTAGAATCCCATCCGCTTACAAGTAAATATTATCAATTATATATGAATGGTACAGATCTATGGATAATTAAACATCTGCTTGTCTATATACAGCCAAAATATAGAAGTCACACACAAGTGTGACAGCAAAAATGCACAAGTATTTGTATGAAGCTATATTTCTGCATGTAAATTAGAATTTGCTTATGTCCCATCTGTACATGCAGTTACATGGTTTTGAAAGTACACTTCAGTTTTATGTAGGTACAACAGGTGATCACATTTTAAAGGCTGATTTCTATGCCTGTGTTTGAGAACGTGGTCCATAGTCATTGTGTATTAGCTTCAAATTAAAATGCACATTTATGATCATGAAACCAAATGCAACTGCATTCACTAAAATACTGATTTCTTTTAATAAGAGATAGTTCAAATTCCTTTCATCTTAGTTATGATCTTCTCTCTTCATATATAAGTATCATAAGAAAGTTATTTAAAAAATCTATACTTGTTGACCAATATAATTTGATTCTTCTTGATCCTTAGTATATATAGTTTTTTCAAATAATCACTCTTTTGCATATTTTCTAAAACTAACTTTACATTTTAACTAGACACGGGTTTAATCCTTGGAAAGACTCCATGTGGCGTGTGGTACCACGCTGTTCTATTGAATTTTTGTGAACACGGCAACTTCCATAGAGAGATTTATCTGACAGCCCTGTAAAAATATGCCAAGTGCTTGTTGACTGGACTTTTTTCAGATAGCTGAGGGGACATTCTCTACTGGTTTTTTACACAGTTAAGGCTAAATAGAGGATAAGTAATGAAATTAGTTTCTTGCTAGATAAGCTTTATGTAGAGGAATGAGACATGTTCTATTAAATGTTGCAAAATAGCTGATAAAAAGTTAATGATATAACAAACTTTGATTCCCCCAAAACCTTTATAATGACTCTCATTTCAATTTTCTGGATTATAATATTGTGGGGGATTGCTGGGTGTTCACAAACTGATTCTCCAAGCTAGTCATTATCCTCCAAGTGTAGTTGTATGGAATAGGCTTCTGCATAAGCTCTGTGGTCCAAAAGGGACTAAGAAATTCTCTGTGGGCTAGCCATAGTCCATCTCTCCCACATGGCACAATAGGGGTAATTGGATTGGTGCCTCAGGCTTTCAGGGGCTGTAGCCACAATAGAAATATGGCAAGCAGGGCGAAACAGCCCACATTAATTTTTATTCTTAGACTGAAATGTTACCCACTGCAGTTACTTCTTTACAGATGTTCTGTAGTATGAATTGTTGATGCTTAAATGATAATAGTATTGAATTGATAAACCTCTATGATTTTATGAACAACTAAAACTCCATTTTCTGCTTGTTCTCTGGTTGACATGAGTAGATGAACTTAATATGCCCTGTGTACGTGAGTGTCTGTGTGAGAGGGTGAATGGTGAAAGAATGGTAACTATTTGCATGAAAACAGAAGATTTAACTGATTATGTAAGCAACGAGGCACCAATGTATGAGTTACCAGACAGTAAACTAATTAAGCTAATTAATGGATGGCTGAAGAACTTGTCTGTGATCAGGTGCAAAGAAGGAGGAATTGAGAAGAAGGGATTTTGCATATCCTGCCATTTGAACTACACAGTGCTTCAAGACTCAAATACCAACTCTGAGATACCAACTTTACTGGAATGACCTCATTGGAGATACCAACTTTACTGGAATGACCTCAAGTTGAGAAAACCAGAAGAAACAACCTCTAATTAAAAACTGAGCATGGAAAAATCCCGATGCTGTACAAAAACTTGAAATCCCTATAAAAGTGAGATGCAGACAAGCCAAGATGGAGAATCCACTCTCTGCAACCTCATGGAGCACAGACATGTCTGTTCTTTCCCTGCTCCCTGGATTGGCCATCCAGTGCTAGCATTGATTAACTTCTGCTGGTAACTATAACATCTTACTGAAATAGTTTTGTCTGTATGTCTGTCTTTGTCTGTTTGTAGGTATGCTTGTGTGTGTCTGTTTGTATGACTGTCATGTCCAAGCTTATGTATCTGCCTTATGTAATCAAAAACATGGCATTTTTGCCTTATCCCCCTTTCTAAGGTCTCACTCTGATTTCAGCAATTGGCAGTTTAAAGTAACAGTTCCACTAGGGCCACATTATCTTTATTTGTCTCATGCATAAGCATGGACTCCACTGTTTTGCAGCTTTGATCAGGTAATATCCAGGGGCTCTTCATTTAAATTAGTTACCAGTGACCTTCAATTAACTTAAATATATGTAAAATTAAACATCAACAATTCAAATAACTACACCCCCCAAAAGCAATTGAAATAGGACCAAAAATGAATTTAACTAATGAATCAAGAACATATATGTATAACCAAGAACAAAAAGCAAAAAAGTATACACTGTCCAAGATCCCTTTGATAAGAATTAAGGTATTGATATCGTGGATCAAGCAATAGCAAAGGCATTATTTTGAACCACTAAAGTAAATGTCTGGTTTCCATTTTTATTTGTGTGTGCATAACTGTTCTGATAGGTTTTTGGTCATAAAAAACTGCATCTCATTCTATAAAGGAAATCTAGTTATAGTATCTTACTTTTTGTAAGCTTAATTTCCTTCACTGCCAGATTGTAAGGGAAATGCCAATAGAAATCACAAGATTTCCCTATTCCAATCATACTAAGGTATTCCAGTGGCATTAAACAACAGTGACATTAAATCAAACTTTCAATTTTTAAAAGCTGTGTTTCTAGTCTTTATAGCCTTAAAGAGAACCTTCCAAATCTACATTTAAAAAGTAAAAAAAGAAGCTATGCACTTTCTACTAATAAAAAGGTGTTAACTCCTGTTCATGAGTAGGCTGTTGACTCTGAAACTCAGTGAACCTTAAAGGTAAGGATTAACTATTTCACTCAGACTCAATCGGAAAATATGCTTATTCACTATTGCTGGATTTAATGGGAGCAAAAAGCTTAAGCTGTTTTAAGACAGAGCTTGTTTCATAGTAGCTAGGGTCAGGAAGGACCTGAGCAGATCATCTAGCCTGACCCCCTGCCACAGGCAGGAATGAATGCTGAGGCTGAACAGGTTCAGGTCCCTCAGTCTCTTCTCATAGGGCCTGTCCTGCTGCCCTCTCACCAAATGGGTGGCCCTCCTCTGAACACTCTCCAGGCTGGCCACACCCTTTTTAAAGTGCAGCGCCCAATACCGGACACAGTACTCCAATTGCGGCCTGACCAGTGCTGCATAGAGGGGGAGTATCATCACTCTGGCCTGGCTTGAGATGCACCTTTGGATGCATGACAAGGTACGGCTGGCCTTGCTGGCTGTGGTCTGGCTCATGTTCATCTTGAAGGCAGTAATGACTCCAAGATCCCGTTCCGCCTCAGTGCTTTCAAGAGGGGAACTCCCCAGCCTGTCTGTATGCTGTGGATTCCTTCTCCCAAGGTGCAGCACCCTGCATTTGTCTACGTTGAACCCCATCCTATTCTCATCTGCCCACTTTTGTAGTCTAAGTCTGCTTGCAGCCTCTCTCTCGCTTCAAGTGTGTCCACCTCAATTTTTCAATTTATGAAAGGGATAATATGAAAAGTTTGCATATGATAGCATCTCTAGTTGGTGTGTTGAATTGGGCATTAAAAACATGTACAGCCTGCCACTTTTGAACAGGACTAAAATTAGGCTACCATTAGCCTTGTTTTAAAATGGATAGTCCTGTTTTGCATCAATCTTATAAAATGTTTCTGTTATGAAAACAAAATGAAAGAAAGAAGCATTTTGGTTAATATTCAAGTAATTGACAATCAACTATGGTATTTATATTACAGACTTCCTAGTAGTAATGTTCATACTTAGTGCGGTCTAACACTCTCTCTTTACCAAGTTGGTGGCTAAATTCTCTAAATTGTCTCTTCTCACTGGGCACATCTACACGACGCTATGTTGCTTTAGCAATGCACTATGGCGATGTAGCATCTGTGGGCATTTACATATGACCAGCAGCTACTTTGACATAGTGACATGCTCCCTCAGTATAGCGTGCCACTATGGCAAGGCAGCTGCTAAAAATAACTGTGCTGCATCTACAGTCAGTATGGGTTGTTACTGCATTGTGCGTTAGTACTTCCTCTTGGATAGTAATAACATTGTCATAGCAACATGTGTACACACACCCATAGTGTATACTGTGGAATCCTGTGAAATGCATATGACCTTTCCCTACAACTGTTTCAGTGCCTTATAACTGTGAACATGATGATGTAATTTAAAAGCACACAAGAGCAAAATTAAGATTTCCCAGGTATTTCCTAAAATGTGAGGACTTGACTTTAAAAGCTTAATATTCTTTTCATTTTTAATAGAATCTTAAGGGGGGGTTAATAGAATTATATGTGCTTGTAGTGCATATGCAGTATTACAGAATATAGTTTCTATGGAGTTTGTAAATAAATCCTATTTTCAGAATTATACAAACAAAAGAACTATTCAATTCCTTGACAAATAATCTATCCAGAAGCCAAAGGTGCTTTAGACATTCAGATCTATCTTTTAGATTTCTAAAACTGATAATTTTGATAGATAATTATTTGATAAGAAACATCCACATAATTTATTAAGTATTAAAGAACTGTATAGCAACAGAAACATGTTTCAACTGTGGCAGCAAAGTTTGCAAATTATGGCTCCTGATTCCTGTTGATTTCATGCAGATGATGCCCAGAGATATCTTGGGTGAGTACAACCCTACTACTTTCTGCATGATGAACTTTGGTACCTATAAGATTTTTACATCCAAATGCCCTAAATAAATATTCTGAAAGTTAAGATCTGTTTGCCAGAATTAGGTAATACCAAGTAATTTGTACTCTTGCTCTTTTTTTGTTCAACGGTTTTAAGTGGGAAAGGAAATAAAGCTTCAAAAACATGTACTTGTTAAATTTAGCATGCAAGCCCTCTGGGACATTTGTATTGAGATGAAAAAGTATCACCCAAGAGCTAAATTACTAACCAAGACTAAGTCCATATGTACAAATAGATTTAGATCAAGGGGCCAGGAATCACAAAATCCTATCTCCCCATTAATATTTAATGTGACATTTGGGCTTTAGAAGCCCTCTCTGAACTCAGATGTGTGGGAGTTTGTTTTGGCACAGAGGTCTCTGTTTAATGGTGTAGTCATCATGAAAATGAACAATAGTACATATGGAAGATGTTCTTCACCAAAGTAACTTTCTTCATAAGAGTTAATTTTGAAACCATAAATATACTTTTACTGTCACAATAACTGCATAACTTTTGTAAGCAATCCATTTAATTTATAATTATGCTACTCTGTCTACAGTATTTCTAAATCTATAATTTTTTGCCAATCTCTAATAGCCTGATCCATGAAACGTGTTGTTCTTCATATAGGAAATGTAATATTAGTCCCAGATTCTTAAATGTCAAATTGGATATCAAAGTCCTACTCATTCTCATGTCAGTTAAAATATAACCAGAGGTGAAATGGGAGATGGTCATAAACACTGTACATCTCCATAAAGGACATAACTAAGACATTTTCTCAAATCATGAAACTCTGAGGCCTTGATTCAGCAAAGCATTTCGTTGACACTTAATATGAAGCATGTGCTTTAGTCTCATTGGCCATTTATAGAGTTACATTTTTCTAGGTTTAATCTGAACTACAGCCATCACTTTATACACATGGACATATGTAGTCTGAATTAAAATTGGAGCCAGTCTGAATTAACTACTCCACGTTGACTGAGGTTTAAAGTTAATACAGACTAGGGCAGTCCAAATTAGGCAATTTAAACTGTATTAATTAACATGTATATGTAAAACCTGCCAATATATCCCCACCACCCTCACAAATACTATACCCCACAACAGAACCATCAACATTCCTGGATGTTACAGCTGCACCTCCAGAAATGTAACATATCTCATCAAATGCACCAAATGCCCTGATGGAAAATATGTAAGCGAGACCAAAGAACAACTGCGAACCAGAATGAACGCACACCAAAAAATTATCAAAGACAAAAACTGTGGCGATGCGTGAGGGGAGCACGGGGTGCATGTGCACCCCCTGAGTGCTGCTGCACCCCCTGACAGCCAGCGCTTTCCACTTAGGCAATGGGCAGGGGGGCAGGTGGTAGCGCTGGTGCCCCCTGCGAGCACTGGCTGGGGAGTGGGGATGCCAGGACAAGCGTCAATTCCAGGAGCACCACTGGCACTTCCAGGAGTAAGTGCCGTTGTCACTTCTGGGTGCCTCACTCTCACTTCCTGGTCAGCGCAATTGGCCACGGGGGACTCCCCACTCTAGTTGGCAAGATCGGCTATGGGGGGACCCCAGTCGATGACTGGCCACTGGGGGACACCAGTCACCCATGGACAAGAATACCTAATTACCTGTGGGGGCACATTTCTCACAAGAAAACCACTCTCTCTCCAATCTCTCAGTTCTAATCCTCAAAGGGAATTTACAAAGCACCTTTCACAGATGAGCCTTCGGCCTTCACTTCACCAACCTACTAAATGCAAAAAATCATGGAATAAATATAGACATTGGATTTATGACACATTAAAACTTGCCTAACATCTGACTTCCCAGGTTCCTCTCCACTCTTTACCAGCTATATTCATTCCCCTCACTGCCTCTTCCTCTAATCTGTCTCTCACCTGTTGACTCCTTAATTTACATTGTCACTAACTGGCTTTTCTTGCATGCATACCAGCTTCTGGCTTCTTTACTATTCATTCCATCCAGGAAGAGTACAGACCAGCTGCAGATGCTTCCTCAGCCTGACAAAGGATGTTTGTGCCTGAAAGCTTGCAAAGAAGTATTTTTTTCCTACTATTTGAGTTACTTTAATAAAAGATACCAGATTTACCTAAAGAATCTTGTCTGTCTAATCCCCACAAGGGAAACTCAGTCGGGTTTTTGCAACACAACAGAGGCTATTAGGCACAAAGTAACATCTTTACAAAGTCAAATATGCCAACAACATCAGGTCAGTTGCACCCATTATGACTTCTAGAACAGCACTTTAGATAACTGTCAATAGGTTTGCAACAATGTAACAGTGCTTAAACAGGCTTATTATCGCCTCCTAATTACACACAAGCTCACAAAGAGGCTGCGAATTGGGTCTATTAAGGGTGAATTAAGTGTATAGACTGTGCATAGCCAGCGCCCCCTGCTGTGATGGTCATTGATTGTCTATAAACCCATAATTCAACTTGAAATTTGATTCAAAGTGTGTGATGCAAATCAGTTAACACAGTTTAGAAAACGGTGAGCATGTCTACAACTGGTCATTGATTTCAGTGCACAATAAACATACCCTTCAAGTTAGTCATTCACTTATGTGAATTCCCACTTGTGTAAATTCCTATTTTATTTTATTTTATGAACTTTCACTATGTGTTTGGTGCTGTACAGAACAGCAGCAACAACAAAAGAATTCCATCCTAGGAAACTTCATTCAACAAAATTCCCTTAAATATAATGGGAGCTTTGTTTGAGCAACATCAGCCAGGGCATGCAATCACCCTCCAAACACCTGCATGAATGGGCATTTACATCAACCAAACCCTGGATAGGTTGATCTAAATGTAATGCTTGTACTTACCCAAAAAGATTACCTCATAACCTTACTCTCACCTTCCCTGTCTGAAAAAGCTTTGAGGTCTTTCAGCAAGCACTAACAGCTCTCAGGCTATCTACAGAAGAGAGTTAACATTGGAATCTTTTACTCTTCCAAACACATTCTGAAAAAATTGCACATGTTCCTCTTTCGATCTTATTTTCAAAGAGCAAGCTGGAAGATAGCAATAGTAATGAAGATGAACTGAACGACTAATTATTTAGCCACTGGGGGGATGATGTGCTTAACTAAATCTTGCTGTCATTGATAGTCATAACTAGTAACATTTAAGTGCCAGATTTATGAGACATAGCAATCCATCTCCATTACATCCCAGATGCTTTACTTAAGGTGAGTTAAGGGAATCCCAGTTTTTACTTCATGTGTAGTTATCTAGTGCAATCCTTAAACAAAACAGAATTCTTGCCTGACATGGTTTTTTTCTCTAACATATTTCTTGTGCCCCAATCTTACATAATATTCACATATATTTAGACTGGGCTTTAAACAGTTTACAACTCTTGCTTTATATATATATTAGCCAATGCATTTTAATGTATTTTACATATTTCTCTGACACTGGTTGTATCTATTTTAAGATATCCCCACTAAAGAACTTTTTTTGCTATTAAAGTAATTTGTGTGGCAAGCACACAATCTGAATTTTGAGGCTAATTAGCAGGTTTAGCCTCACAAAGGAGATACTTTACTTTATATCTACCTACATTTCAGAACTGTGGGTATTTCAATCCCAGTGCATCGCTGGTACTAAATTAGCACATGACCTAAATGCCAGAGTTGGCCCTAGTGATTTAATGTCACAATTAATGTAGAGGAAGCTTAATTGTAAACTTGTACTTTGTCAAGTATGTATAATTATGACTATTCCCAATTAAGTTGATGAACACATCAACAGAGAGATTTTTTTTTCCTTCTCTGTACAAAGCTCCTGACTTTATTTAATAATATTATCTAGCTTCAGGTTTCATTTGCAAGAATATGAAAACACTGTCAAAGAAAAATGCTATCTAATGTAATGTTACTGTTGCAAAACAACTGGTTGTTCTGAATATTTGTTTACTCCTGTGTCATTTTAGGTCATGGGTTTAGACTTTATGAGCTAAATAGGATGGAGCTCATCAGTACCTGAACGGGATCATTTCATGAAAAACCCAAAAGACTCCTGGAAGTGTAGTTGATGATTCATTACCTGGCATTCTTTCTTCTGATCCAGTACTGAGTAATTTTCCAGGATGCTATTAAGAGATGTCATAAAGCTAAGGTCTTTGCAACTCGTAATGAAAAGACTCTACACTTCCAGTAGAGAAATACTGTTAGTCCTCATGTCCTGGCCATATACCAAAGAAGAAGACTGAAGTTATCCAACTAAAATTCCCCTCAAACTTTCAGCCAAAAATATCTCACTACTCCTTTCATTTTCCTCTAAATAAGAAATAATCCCAATGATGTCAATGAAATCTACATTGGTGTAAAAGAAACAAAAAAGAAATTGAAGTCCATTTATCCTTTTTCTCCTCTTATCTACTAATGTTTGCATTGTTTTGAATATTTGTTATGTTCCATCCCAGAGACAGCTGAATTTCAGTGGTAAATTCAATGTTTATCCTGTATTTAGATGGTTTGTAAAGCACTGCACAATGAAGACCACTATGCAAATACAAGGTCTGACCCATTTGTGTTATCTACTGCTTTATAAACACTTACTTCAGTTAAACATGTTTAAAAGCTGTACAAATGTGCAAGGTTCTAGGTATTTTCTTCCTTCCACTTGAAGACTTCTTGCAATTTTTACATACTATTTTTAAGAAAGTATTCATTGAGCTAGCAAAGGTATTAGAGCTAATCACTGTAGTATTCCTTTAACATGGCATTTTTACATGACATCCACTTTCAGGATTACATTTTTGTTTTGACACACACAATAATATTTAACTGCTGGATGGAATAAGATTACCACCTCAAATGCTTCAACACAAATGTACATCAGTAACTTTAATATTTTTGCTGTGCTTTGTGGACAAGCCCAAAGAAGTACACAGAAGTAATGTCAGTCATTTTGATGAATAATTGAATACCATTGTAATTTTGAAATATAAACCCACATCCAGCAAAGTACATGAGCATGAGCCTAACATAAAGAATATGAGGCATATGAGTAGTCACACTGGCTCCAGTGGAACTATCCATATCCTCAAGTGCATGGATGGATCTGGATCTAATTGGCGAAATTACATTAAAGTCAAATTAAGGGCTAGGTTATGATTTTTGTCACAGTCCTGAGTAAGTGATGTTGTTGAAGGACCCTTCTACACATGCAGGTGAAAGTACAATGGGATCTAATGCACGATCCAAACAATAGCATCCCCTGCCATACCACCTGTGTATGGCAGGAGGCATGATTGTGGGATTGAACATTAGATCTCATTGTGCCTTATTACCAGTGCAGGACAAGCTCAGGATCATGATCTTGAGCTCTCCCTGTACCAGCTCCTGTGTCTGTGAGCCCCACAGATGATGGGACTCACAGATGGAGCAACGTTCCCTGGGCTGCCCTCAGTCTGAGCCTCACAGCAGCAGTATCAGGAACACTGGCACCACTGTGAGCCTTGTCAGCTGCAGGGCTGGAGTGGGTGGTGAACCCCTGTGGCTGGGAGCCCCTCAGTTGATGGAGCTTCTATTCACAGGGGAGCACTTATACACTTGTTCAAAAACTGGCATCATTAGAACAAATTACGAAGTTACTACACATTTTTGATGGAATAACTTTGTGCTTATTGCTTGTTTTATCACGCCATTAATTGCTTGAACGTGTAGCTGGGTCATAACTTAAGGCATGATTAACTGGTTAATCATGCCTTAAGTAAAGTGTATAAAGGGGGCCTTAGTTACATCACTTTGTGAGCTACTCTGCACACTTATCTCTGAGTCACAATTACTTTAATTGGTATAGATAAGTGGTTCTCTATCTTTTCTGACTGAAGGCACCCCTTAGAAGGTGCCATCTCTTAGCTTTCACTCATTTTTTTTTACTTCAGAAAAAAATAAGGCAATTCTTCTGTTGCAAAGAACTCTGAAAGACCACATCAGATCAGAATGTTTTTAACGCTATGGATTCCTATTTGAAATCTCTGGGTTTATCTTGTAAACCATGTAGGTGTTTGCAAATCTAAGAGTGCTAATATTGTGAAGCAATCACTGGCAACCTTAAAAAAACCTCCTGGCATCCCAAGATTGTCTCAGCACCCTGGTTGAGAATTGCTGCTATAGATAAACTGGTGCAAAGAATGCCCCATGTTAACAAGGCTTAAGAACAATATTGATTTGGAGCACCTGCTTTATAAGGGATGAAGGAAGGAAATTATGTTGGCCCATTTCCAGATACAGTTAACTCCCCTCCATGTTTCTAGCCAGCTCTGCTACCAGCCATATATATAAGTTGGTGAGTCCTGGCTACACTAACACCCTAGGCAGTAGGGGAGACTTACCTTCTCTGACTTTCATGGCAATGTAGGGCAGACCCCAACTGACTACTACTCCATTCTTAAGGCATTTGATTCCAAAATAATTAATGCACAGTGCCCATTTTGGACACCTCCTTAATTTGTTTCATAGATTCATTGAGGTTTGGGTTGGAAAGGACCTTAGCAGATCACTGAATCCAACCCCCTGCCCTGGGCAGGAAAGAGCACTGGGATCAGACAACCCCAGCCAGGTGTATGTCTAGCCTCCTCTTAAAGACCCCAAGGTAAGGGAGAGCACCACCTCCCTTGGAAGCCCATTCCAGATTCTGGCTGCCCTTACAGTAAATAAGTTCTTCCTGATGTCTAACCGAAATCTGCTCTCCATCAATTTATGGCCATTGTTCCTAGTTACTCCAAGGGGTGCCCTGGTAAACAGAGTATCCCCTATTCCTTGCTGCCACCCTGATGGATTTGTAGGTGGCCACAAGATCACCTCTCAGCCTTCTCTTGCAGAGGCTGAAGAGATCCAGGGCCCTCAATCTTTCCTCATAAAGTGATTTTCTTTAAATCACTTCTGGAATCAGTGCAGAAAGCTTCATCTCCAAATGAGAAAGTCTGAAAAAAAAAAACAGCTAGTGAAACAAAAAGGGAGTTGCTATGATTATCATGGGATGTGAGTTGAAACCTTAATGACCATGAAACCTCCAGTAGTGCTGTTCTTGAAATATTATCCATGTTAAGATGTGCATGATTCTGGCACTAGTAGAAGAGATTTTGAAAAATGTCAAAAAGTTCCACTGACTTTTACCGTAGACTTGTGATTTCCACACTCATTGTAAGACAGGATGGTTTCCCATTTTCCCAAAGTGGTGTAC